CCCCAAAACCCCAAAACCCCAAAACCCCATCATCAATTTATTTGAGTATAAAAAGGCATGACTTGAATTATTAATTATGTATATATTTTACAAATCATCGAATGATAACCTCACCTCCAAGGCTCTCGAATAATCCAGAACTTACACCAGATGAGATCTCACGATCTAAGTCAACTCAAAGCTTTGATGACTTCCTGCTTACAAGATACAGGAATTCAAATGCTAAATATGATTTTTCAGAGAGTCCAAGATACTTAGATTAAAATCTAATTTCAAATAAGACTTGCCCAGAGAGATTTGAACTAGACTTAGAGTAGAAAGACATATTAGCAACTCGAGATTTTCAACTATAACCTAAAAGTTCAATGACCTTAAATATCTTCAAAATTTCTTGCCTTTTGCTATCATTGATTGCTACTTCTTCTATCTTACCATTTTCAGTCGCTTTACCCTTGGAAAGTACTTTACTAAAGCTGTGTTGGAGATACTCAAGCATGATTCCATTCTTAATTATACTCTCATTATTCCAACTAAACTAACAAAGAAACCAGCTAAAATTGATGGAATTGATAAAAGATAAGAATGTGATGATTTTAGCCACAAAATCAGCAATTTCCCTCTTTTTAGTTCAAACTACATATCTTGTTAGTGGACAATATACAATAATATCTCATGCAACTATTCTGAGCTCTTTCGGAGGAGCTATTATTGTTGTGTATAGATTTATTACCAAATAGAGAGTTCACTAATTTGAGTACATGGGTATCGCTATGGCGACAATTGGATGTGTAGTCTCATGTATGGATGAAGTCTCTAAAGTTAAAGAAGAGGATTTAAACATTCCACTTGGGGATGCTTGTGGGCTTCTTTGTTCAGTTTTCATGGTTATTAATTTTAATCAAACTCACGAGTTAATTAAAAAGGTGCCATCTTCTTTAGTAACTTTATATTCAATTTCTTTGGGGCTAATTCTAATTATTTTTTTTGGACTATCTTTCGATACATTTACTTTAGATATGGATGTTGAAACAGGTGTTTTTGGGTTTTTCGATGAGAAGTACTTCTTGTATACTTTTTTAGTTTTAGGATTTTTTACCGGAACCGTATCTTAAGTAACAGAGTACTAAGCCTTGAAATATTTCTCTCCCTTAGTTGTCATAAATTTCCTTCTGTTTGATCCTATCATATCTCAAATTCTGTCATGTTGGATGGGTATTGATCACGCTCCAGGAAAGATGACTTACTTCGGCGGGTTGTTCACTTTATTAGGGATCTTCTTTGTTTCTTACGGGGGACAGAAGTTATCCAAATGAACTATCGAATATTAACTTTAAGCCGCTGGACGACAGACGAAGATGTTTGTTTATTCTTAATTTTAGAATCATTTTGATGAAAATTTTCATTAAGCTGTTTCAAGGGGTTTTGGGGTTTTGGGGTTTTGGGG